CCTCCCTCTGCTCCTGCACCGGCTCGGCCTGCTCCTGCAGCACCGCGGGCCGGAGCACAGGCCGCCTCACGCCTGCGGCTTCCCAGGCGGTGCCACACCGCTCGCTTCACGCCTGCTGCTGCCGGCATTCTCACCTGCGTCTGGCCTCCCGTGGGGCCCTCCCCCACGCCCACGCCGCCCGCGGTGCCCGCCTCCGAGGTTTGCACGGGGCCGTGCACCATCACAGGGTGCGCTCCTGCAGGCTCGCAGGCCCCTCCAGGGGACTGTCAGCGAGGCATCCCACCCCATTCGCAACCCAGGCGACTGCCTCCCTGTGCAGGCAGGGATGCGTGCATCTGATTGGCGGGTGCGGGCGACACGCCGCCCGCCGACCTGCTGTGCCCGGGGTGCGGCTGTAGCCTGTTGCCTTGTCCATGTCGTGGCGCTCTGCAGGCGGGCCGGGTGTCGCAATCAGCGGCGTGCTGCTCTAAATGCCGTGCTGGGGACGCTGACCGATGCACGCCACGGCGGCCAGCGGGCAGCCCCTCTCTCCCTCCTTGCCAGCCCCAGCTCCCGTACCCAGCTTGGATAGGCCGGTCGGGTGCGGGTCAACAATCTCTGCGCCCCCAGACCCAGCGCCGTGGAAGCCGCCGCCTGCGTGTCGCGGGGGGGGCTGAGCGAATGTGGGCGGCAGGCGGGGGATTGGGAGGGACCAAGGCGCCGCCGCCTCCTGCCGAGACGGCGGCGGCGCCGCCGCTGGCCCGACGGCCACTCACTGAACGCTGGGTTGCCCCCTGAGAAGCCCTCGTGCTTGTGGAGGTCGATGTGGATGCCGGGCAGGCCTGCAGGCAGGCTTCGCACCCAGGTTGGCGGCGGTCTGCCTGATGGGCAGCAGCTACCGGCGCTCTGCCAGAGGGGGCAGCAGGCACACTGCCTCGGTCTCGCCTTCCTCCTCTTCTGGGAAGTGAGGCGGCTCCTGGGGGGCCTCTGCCATGGCGCTGGCAGCTGTGGGGTGGTTGGGAGGCAGCCTTGGATGGGCGGCAAACCTTGGACGGACGCTGGGACCTTTGGGGTTGGGCTCCTGAGTATAAGGAGCCAGGGAGGCGCGTGGCGCTGAAAGAAAGGAGCAAGCAAGTACTTTGTTTGGTTGGCCCGTGGACCTCCTGCGGCTTCCGTGTTTGCTGGCAAGGACAACCTGAACCGATGAGGCAAAGGCCAGCCTCCAGCAGCAAGCGGCCCAGCTCGGCAGCAATGCCTCCTCACCTCCCCACCGTGCCGCACCCGCCGCCTCTTGCCGCAGCTGGCCTGCTTTGCGGGCAGTATTGTTACACACCACATCAGCAGCAGCAGGTGAAAAAAAGGGAAGACGGGCGGGAGCAGAGCAGTTTCAAGGACAGAGGAGCAGAGAGTGACGGGTTTGGTGGAGCCGCGGGTCACGGGCAGACGAGAGGCACACAGACACAGGACCGAGTGATCAAGGAGGGTAGTGACGCAGGGGATTGTAGCGGGTGCATTCAGTGCGGTGGAAAACAGTGAATAGGCGAGAAAGGCATTTGACAGCACACACGCTGGAAAAAGAAACGAGCCTCTCGCAGGCAATCATGCCTGGCGCCCGCAGGCGGCCGAGCCGGCTGCGCTGCTGCAAACGAATTCGGCGCGTGATAGTATGTATGTCCTTTGTTGGGGGCAGCACACATGGCCGCAGTCGTGCCGGGCTGCAGCCTCCCCTGACGGTCGGTGAGGAAGCTGGGGGCGGGCCGAGCCGGGCTGCGCGGCCGCGCCTCACTCGCCGTGCAGCGCGGTGGGCGCGGGCGGGGCGTCGGAGTCTGAGGTGGGGTTGCCGTCGTCCATGTTGCACACCTCATGGTGCACCTCCTGGTCGCACACGGCGTCGTGGCCCAGGTCGATGGTGCATGTGGCCAGGGGCAGCTCCTCCTGCGGCCGGGTGGGTGGGCGGGTGGGTGGGTGAGGGGTGGGAACATTCGTTGGTGGGTGGAGAGGGGGCAGGTGGGCGGGCAGCCCAGCGGGCTCACCGGCGGCGAGTTGATGTCAAACTTCTCGGGGCCGCAGGGCAAGTAGTAGGTGTGCAGCAGCTCGTGGGCCTGGGGGGGGCGGGAGAGGGGGAGGCGGGCGGGCAAGCACGTTGGCGCCGCGCCCTGCCTCGCACGAGCACACGCCGCACCACACTACTCCACTCCACTCCCATGCTGCCCACACACAAGCAGCCCCAGCAGCACAGCAGCAGGCAGACCCTCCCCCACCCACCCAGCCCCCCCCCACCTTGTGCGAGTTGGGCTTCTCCAGGAAGTCGTCGTACAGCTGCTGGATGACCGGGTTCTCGTGGGAGCGGCGCAGCACGGCGCGCTCAT